AATTTCAAATTTGAGTTGATTGGATTATTTGCTCTCTTACCAGCTTATTGTGTTCTCCCAGACATTTTATATATTTGGTCTGATTTTGCGATTTAATGCCAATGCAATTTTGTGACAAAAACGTTAGAGCTTTGCAATGCACTTCACCTTCATTGTTTGACAGAGGAACCCATAATTTTGTACCCCCATTTTTCCTTTTGACATCCATCCATCTTTCCTTTTTCTTCCGCGCGTAGCCAATCGACAAAGCTGCAAAATCAGCTTGCCACTACTCAAGACCACTCGTGTTGCCGTCACAATTTGCATAAATCGAGCAACAAGCTGCAGCTGGGAAATTCAACAAACAGGCAACATCTAAAAGCCAGCAACAAAGCAGAAAGCCAGCCAGCGTCATTTTTAACACCTGTCAAGAAGCCGAACAACTCAGTCAGGCTAACACACATGAGGGTAAATGTTTGCAGAGCAAGAAAAATTAGAAACAAAAATCCCGGATGAAAAATAATACATTTTTGAAGGATTTAACTTCAACTTTAAAATACCTTAACAAAAAATAAATAAGATTGCATTAAAAAAACTTAAAAATATTAACAAAATATTGCTTTAAAAATGTTGTTGCACACTTTAATACACCTTTATAAAAATATTATTGTAATATATCAATGCCTACATAGCGTTAAAAAACCTTTTTAATTTTAAAACAATTTTTCATATTTTGTCAAAAAAATAATATTTTTTAGTTCAAATTCCAGGTAGCATTAAAAAAATTAAAAAATCTAAAAGTAAACTACTTTCTCCAATATTTCATTTCACTTCCCTTTTGTTCTCTCAGTGCACACTCCTTATAGTTATATAGAGATTGTTTGTTGCCACTTATGTTGGTGGTGCGAAAATTTGTTCAACATTTTTAAACTCAACCATCTGACGGCATCTTAACTTTAAGTGCTCGAACATAGAAAACATATTCTAGCTGAAGAAAAAAAAGTGAAGCAACAACTATGGCGTCTGTTAGCGAAAGTTTGCTCTGCAGCAGAATATTCCTCAAACTTTTTGCCTACTCCCGCCGCTGGACGAAAAAAAGGCATCAAATACGAAAATAGCCTTAATTAATCTGCTCGGGGGTCGTAGACAAAATAAAAGTTAAGAAAACAATGGACAAGTATTCCTTCTTTGGGCTTCTGCCATTGACTGGCTCTTGAGTTGAGGAAAAACTTTCAATTTTCCCGTGGCCTTTGGCGAATTTTTAAAATTGATTGTGCCAGGTGCAGCGGGGCGTATGTGTAACAATTAACTGGCTTAATTAAAGCGATGCTGTCATGACAACAGCCAAGCATCTGGATGCTGGCAAAAAAAGTAGAAAAAAAAGTAAAGGGAAGCTTCAAAGTTTTCACTTAGCTCCTAAGTGCTATTAGAGAGATTTTCCAGCCAAGGACTCTTGGTGGCGTGCGCTGCATATTACGCATACGCCTCGTACGACGCGGGCAATTTGCCAAAATATGCATACATATATAAAAAAAAAAAACACACATAAAGGGAGGTAAGTGTAAAGCGACATACATTGATTTTTACTTTGGTGGGAAGCCAATTTTTGAGACTCTTTCTTGTCACCAAATTTACAAAATTTATAAATAAGTAAAAGAAAATTTTATTTTAACTTAAAAATAAAATGTATTGTACTTTCTATTAAAAATGTATTTTATTTTTCATTTTAATATCTAAATCTTTAAACAGTTCTGAATTTGCTTTATTTGTTCAGCTGGTCCCTCCAATTCCAAACAAAAAGCTCAGTGTGACCATGTTATGTATTAAAACGCCAAACTTAGGTCATTATTTAGGAGGTAAAGAAACAAGAAAGAGCATTTGTGTCTCTGCTTTCTTTTCAAGGATTCTTTTTTCATATTTTTCGCTTGCCTCTATGACAGTGATATCCTTGGGATGATAGTAGCCCAAAAAAATATCCCGAAAAAGTGGCGCTGAAATGAAATCTGTGCTGTAGCCTAGATGGAACACGAGGGGCTATAGCCCACAACCACATCTACATCACCACAAGTTGTGCCCGCTCGTTGACATTTCAATCGCCTTAAGTTGTCATGGATTTCGCTACCCGCTTTCCCTTTTATCTGCTTGCTTTTAAGCGGCTGCAGCGGGCGGCTTAAACAATATGCATAGCTTTAAAGTGGCCAGCAGAGAGTTGGCGGCTTTTGGCCTTTTATTGCATAAGCCGCGTTGGCTGTTGGCATGACCTCGATCATGTCGTAGTTGATGGGATATGGGCTCTGGTGACCGATAAGGGATTTTCGCAGAAAAACACCAATTTGCATAACAACTTCCGCCATTTTTGTGTTCGTTTATTTGTTTGCCTGGGCGATTTTGTCATTAGTTGGATTCTGTGTGTGTACACCTGTTAAGCGCGTTGATTGCAGGGTTATAAATGGGTTTTTCCAGTGGGTTGTTGTCTCATTTATTGCATATGCCACAAAAGCGCATCACCAACATGCGCACTTAATTGGTTGGCTCTCATCTGAGTTGCTTAATTTGTTTTCAAAATATATATTAATTTAAATTTGTATATTCAAATCCCTGCCTAAATATTTAATCTGGCTAAAGTAATCTGCGAAACAAAGTCAAACTGTTTTTTATTTTAATTACTGACCTTTTTTGAATCTATAACAAAAACTAAAGGTCAATGAGCTTAATTCCAAACAAAACAACTTAACCTTAAAACTTTTATTATTCAGATTTTCTGACTGCAAGTAAGTTAAATTAAGTAGCTCTGCAAAATGTTTAAAAATTATATTTTTAAAAAGGTCAGTTCTCTATAATTTCTCTAAAACTAATAGACACAAATTTCCCAGAACTTTCGCCTGCCAGTCAGCTAAATAAAGTACCTCTTTATTTATATTTTCACAAAGGTCAGTTATCTTTATTTTCTCGAGCATTAAAACTATGATTATAATAAACTACTTTTAGAATTACCCAGAATTTTCTACTCGCTGCGCTCGCAAATATGTATATAAGCTTTAAACAAATCATCGTAGATAATGAATTCCATAATTCTGCATAAATTCTTCGATTCCTATTTGCTTTCGTCGTCTGTTGTGGGTTTTTGGGCCAAATTAGTCTTTGGGCCGCCATAAATAATGATTGCATTTGGACTCAGACTGCAAACAGGTAGAACACAAACCACAACAAACTAGGAGCTAGCGAACCTATTAGCATAAACCACTTGCCAGATAATCGCACCTTAAGCTGACTCACAACAAAATGCAATAACATAAAAAAGAGGACAGAAGGAGCAAATGAAAACAATTCCGAGTCGTGTTGGGAATTGGCAGTAAAGCCAATTGCTTGATAGTGATGGAATGAGTACTTTCTTATTTATAGGTACTTTAAAAAAGCAAGCACAAAAAAAACTCGATATGACAATTAGAGCTTGAAAATTATCGATAAATGATAGTATCGATATTTTCGATACTTTATCATTATCGTATCGATAATATCGATGTTTTCAAGGAAAGCAAAGACAAATTAAAAATAATTTTATAATTCTGTTAATACCACGTATTATTATTATATACATGCATAATACACTTACATTATTATTAATATTATTATTAGAAAAAATCGCGGGTAATTTATTTAATTTTAATTTCCTGTTTTCATTATTAAAATGCACTTCCAGACTAAAGGATCGTCCTCTTAAGAACTCGTGGTTTATTTATGTTTGATCATTGAGTTGAGTTGCGTCACATGTCTAGAAAGACACCAATTCTTAGTCAAAGACATTCACGGCTTCTTAAGAATTTTTTTTAAAATATATTATGAGGAAATACTTATGTAAAATAATAGAACAAACCTTTGTTCCATACCATTTTTTGGTACTAAAGAAGAACAAATTCCTCCTCTTCTGAAGAATTCCCGGTTGCTTTTTTTTTTGATCCTTTGCCAAAATTGCTCAAACGGTCTTTGTTTTGTTTGTTGTTGGTATTAAAAGAACGAGAGTTCCTCCTTTCCCCAAGAAATCGCGGTTCTTTCATTTCCGATTTTATGCCACAACCTATGGTTATTTTCCCCTACTTTAATTGATACTATACCATAAAGAAGTAAAAATTCCTCCTCTTCTGAAGAATTCGCGGTTGTTTTTTTTTTGATCCTTGAGTCCAAATCGCTCAAACGATCTTTGAAAAGCGACCAATTCTTATCAAAGGCTATGAATTCGCGGTTTCTTGAGATTTTTTAATAGCGGACAGAAGGTCGGTAGCTGCAACCAAGACTTTGTTTTTGGTACTAAAAAAACCAAAGTTCCTCCTCTTCCCAAGAACTCGCGGTTCTTTTATTTTCCATTTTTTGCCATAACCTATGCCCTTTTCGCCTACTTTTAAGTATTTCATAATATCTATGGTACCAAAGAAGAATAAAATACCAAGAACTCGCGGTTCTTGCATGGTAATTTGTCCCTACTTAAAAGTTATTAAAAGTATTAAAAGTTATTTTGGTCCTCAGAATTAAAGAGTGAAATCTGTTCGTTTCTCTCTAATAAAACGTCAGAAAACATCGATATTATAGATAAATATCGATGTTTGAAAAATATCAGAAGTATCGATAATATCGATACTGATATCGATAATTTTCAAGCTCTAATGACAATGGTAAGTTTTTGTTATTTATATGCATATCGTTTTTACCATGCCATACTGGTAAACTTGATATTGAATAGTATCATTTTGACGATTTCAATTAGGTAGAAGTGCTTTTGAAATAATGACTAGATGTCAATAGAACGAATATATATTTTTTTGTAATTATCAAACTCATATGTAGCCTCTTCTCTGCAATTAATATTGCATGATGAACTGTTTTGCCAATAAAACACATCTGACTAACCACAAATGCGTTCACAAGGGAAAACAAGACATACTTGCGGTTTTTACCTTTTATCAAGAGTATAAAAGGCTCTAAAAATCTTCGCGTGTTCTGCAGTGCATATTGAAAACCACTTCAAAATGAGCGAATATATCCTTAAGAAGAAATTTCTTGAACAAAAGGATGAGTCCACGGAAAGGCCAAGAAGACAGCATCATATCGTCGTCGGTGACTTCTTGAGACTGCCCGTATTCTTTTACAACACATTGGGTATTGCTCCCTACGAAACTGATCGAACTCCGAGCCTTTGGTTTAATTTATACTTCGTGTTAATAATGAGCAATGCCACCTTAAATGGGACATTGGAATTCGTATATACGTGGATGTGCTTTCGCCAAAACGACATCTTTGAGGGCTGTATTATGTGTGGATATTGCGCATTTACGGTCACCGGCATGCTTAAAATCGTAGCGGTGGCGATGCAAAAAAAGAGATTGACAACTCTAGTGAAGAGCTTGGAGTCCTGCTTTCCACCGTCCGACAAAAGGGAACAGGAGCAGTATTCAGTAAAGAGTTACCTCAAACGCTGTGACCTCTTTTCCAAAGGCTTTGCAGGACTCTTCTTAATTATGTACTTCATCCACAGCCTGACCGCCATTATAATATACGCCTACAGAATATTGGTGCTCCGATTACCCGATGTCGAGGAATCTCTGCCCTTCTTTGACCTGGAGCCCTGGAACTGGCAGGGATCCTGGAGATACTACATGTCCTATGTCGCGCAGTCGATTGGCGGTTATACCGCCACAGTCGGAAATTTTGCTGCCGACCTCATGATCTTTGGCGTGGTCTTTCAGGTCACCATGTACTTCGAAGGGCTATCCAGGGCACTCAGGGAGTTCAGGATCCGGAACGGTAGCGAGGTTGACGGAGCGCGCAAGGACTTGGAGGAGCTGCGATCCCTGATTGCCTATCACATCAAAATACTCCGGTTGGTCTGGTTAATTATTCTATCGGCCCCAAAGTTTCCCCATTAAATTCGATACGAAATAGGGTCTACCTTATTTCATATAAATAAAAAGCCGATATGATTATTGTCAAATTAATGATTGAATCATATCAACTTGATATTTTAACTTTTCATAAATTTTATTTTTTGAACAAGTATTGTAAAATAAGATAAACATAATCTTAATTCATATCAAAATGATATGAATAATATCATAATAATATCTTTAAAAAATACTAAACTTTTGTTCTGATCTTTTGTAAATTTTTTCCCTGTTTTCATATATGTATCTTGCAGACTCACCGAACTGATGAACGCGGTTTTTGGTGCTACGCTGCTGCTTAACTTTATGGTCTCATCGTGGCTCGTCTGTCTTTTGGGCTTTCAGTTGACCATTGAATTCAGCCCCGAACATTTTGCCAAGCAGGTGCTTATGCTAGTTTCAGCTCAGCTCGAGATATATCTGTTGTGCTACTTCAGCCAGATGCTGATCAATGCGGTCTGTAAAGTATGCAGTTGCTCATTAGTTTTTCCACTCTATCCACTTATTTTCAGAGTGAAGACGTTAGACTCGCAGTCTATGAGATGGATTGGACTGAGGCCGATCCACGATTTCGAAAAATGCTCATTCTCTTAGCGATGAGGGCTGGGAGGCCCATATGTATAAAAGCTACAGTCATGCTGAATGTAGAGATTGAAACCATGAGCATCGTAGGTGCTTTTTAGTGGTCAGTAAAAACGTATTAATTTTATCTTTTGAATGTTTTTAGTTTCTGCAAATGTCGTATAAATTCTTCTGCGCTATTCGAATGATGTATCAGTAAATACCTTAAATATAAAAAGGACACATTCAACTCTAGAACTAGTATAGTGTATTGAATTGGAATCGATTAGTTCCGGAAAACGACGATTTAAACTATAGTGATTTCTACGAACACATAATATAACAAATCTTGAAAAATATCGATATTTTTCAAACACCGATATTTACCGATGTTTTATTAAAAACATAGTTATATTAATTTCTTAAACCTTTAAAACATCGAAACAATATTTTGAAAATATAAAAAGCATTGATCGATGTTTTTCTGTCGTTTTATTAGTCGATATTATCGATAAAATATTGTGAAAATATAAAAAATATCGATATTTTTCAACTCTACCACATAATCTAGTATTTTGCTTAAAGAATAAATAAAACTTGTACCGCTGAATTAAAATATCCTTGTACCTAGCCTTAGGTCCTTCCCATCACTGCTGTTTGCCTGCCAGATGGTGCACGGTGGATGTGGCAATAAAAGTGGCCCACCGCTTGCTCGTGAGATTTACTGCTGACTAAAGGACACGCAAAGCCAGTGTTTGCATGTCCACTCCAACGATTTGCTGCAGTTTGCTCGAATATCTTCCGCTTTTCCACCTGCCATTCTCCGCGATTTCCGTGCTGGACCAGCAAAAAAGAAAAAAAAGTATAACGAACAACTAGAAGTGCAAGTTTGGTCCGAAAGTTGAGACAAGAAGAGGAAAATTAAAAACGTTCAGATTGCAGGGAGTTCCTTTTGGGGCCAAGTCAATGTGTCAGGTGTCATCGGTGGGCGGTCTTAATTAAAATCGATGCCAGGACTCACCTTTTCTGGCCAGAAAACCAACCGACGTTGGCAATTAGTAGGGCCAAACTAACCCTATAGAGCTGAGAGCGCCCACGCTGCGTATACTTAATATCAATTAACTGTCAGTAAAACGCAACTGCAGCAGCACCAGCTGCATAGCAAAGTGATTATAATTAAAAGTTTGAGTACGGGCCAGCTAATTAGTAGGGAACTTGGCCGAAAAACATGCATTCTATTAACTGCAGCCCAGGAAGGGAAAATTGGAAAGCTGGAAAACTTTTTACCACCCCCGATAGACGGTAGAAAGTATCTCAAAACTTCGACTGCCGCCGCCAGCGTGTGCCTAAAATCAATTGAGAATTAATTAAGCGGCAGACATAAAACTTTGAAGTCAGCGGCATTTTTCAAACAATTAAAAGGTGAGTGGAGATGAAAGTCCCTTCAACTTTCCCTCAGTGTATATAAAGCAAGAAGGTATTTCTGTAATTCGATTATTCCAAACGAACACGAATTCAAGTGTCGCCTTACATGGTACTCACAAATTAATTATCTCAATATTGTATTACACTTAATACTGGCCCAAATCCCAGTCGAAGTCATTGCCTGAAGCTTCATTGGTTTCGTACCGTTTATATACCACTGCTTGTATTTAAAGGACCATTAATTTGCATAAAATTCCCATAAAATGCATTCGATGAATAAGAAAACTGTTGAGCGGAGGACTCGACTCAGCCGGAGGATTACAGGGATAGCGCAAAAGTCCCTCAATTGAATCATCATTAAGCATTCAGTCTTTTACACGAAAATCCCAGATTCACAGAAATTTACATTCACATTCCAATGCCAAAATGGCTGACAACTATGCACAAAATTATTTGCCGTCTGTTTGGTCAACTAAATAAATTCTAAAGTCTGCTAGCTTTTGGTTATCTTGGTTTTCTGGCCATTTGCTTTGCACCAAAAGCAAGAGTAAATAACTTTAAAATTTTCAATTAAATTTCGTTTGCTCAAAGCTGTTTTTTTTGTGATAATTGGATAAAATGCATGACAAGTCGAGAACAAGAAAGGTGGAAATAAAGCATGGTAAACTGGAAAAAGTGAAGTGACATTGGAGATGGCTTGTGTTTTTTATTGAATAAGTGAATTTCATAAAATTCTTCTTTTAATTTTTTAATATTTAAAAGGTTCTTAAATTAAAACAACCAAACAAATTTAGTTTTGGTGTGTATTATTTTGGGACTCATATTTTACTTATAAATTTTTCACTTCTTACTTTAAGATAAATTTAATTTAATTTTAAAGCTTTATACGGAAATTTTTTACAGCTTTCTTTTTGCATATGAAGTTTTTTGTTTTGAACGACTTTTTTTTGGGTTGAGTACTAGCTCTTAAGATGCACTTACTTTAATTTTAAAATCGTAAGGTTTTATTTTCCTTCTTAAATAGTAATCTGTCTTTTTTAATCGAAATTTTTTGTCAACTCTATCCGACTTTCCTTTGGCTTCCTGACTTCAATAAAAAGTCCCATATTTTTCCTTGACCATTTTTTGCGCACTTTTCTGCCAACTGATTTATGACACCTTCGCCTGGCGACTGGCCATAAACTGTTTCTACCCACTACATCCAATAATCCTTGGCCAGTTAATTGCCAACACGAGACCTTTGCCCCGGGACGCATTCAATCCGAGAAAAAAGGCCCCGCCCCTATCATTACTCACCGGGGTGCACTGAAAGTTGAATGCTCCGATGATAAGGAATAATAAAAACACACGCTGTTTACCAATTAATTGTAAAATATGCTAATTGGCAGTACGCCCAACTTGATGTTGATTTTTCGCGTTAAGACACAGGACCCGCAGCGGCTTATCAGTATTTGCCCAGGATCTCAGGATCTGGCTCAAGGAGTTGTTGGCGTTGGCCATTAAAATCTAAATGAAATACTTTGATTCGGCTCGGTCAGTGGCCATAAATTTAATGACTTGCCCACGGACTGAGATTGCCTTATTTATGGCCCGCAATCTCAATCTGCGGGGCTGCTTAATTAGATTATTTGCTACGGCCCAAAAGGTTTTCTGGGGCCCGAGTTTATCTGGCCCAGCGTTTTATGACACATCTAATGAACACACAGCCGCCGTCGCCCCACAAATCCAATTGATCGATGTTGGCCATCGACCAAAAACCGCAATCATTGCGCTTAAAACGAATCAATTAGAGTCCTCTGACCCGCCATCATTGATTTGGGCGGGTATATGGGCTGTATCCACCACCCATCGCAATATGCTGATGGTGACGACGAGAGTTATGGCCTGCGGAAATCATTTCATTGTGCGTGGCGGGGTTACGCAAAATACGGCACTAAGCTCGTAATCCCTGGGTCACAATTTCTATGGCATGTTTCTACGGGCTATACAGCTGATTAAATGCGAATATTCACAAGAGAGCAATGTATGTACTACAAATATATGTATGGAAACGTGAAATAGCAAAAATGATACAGTCAGCCACAAAACATCAAATTGAAAATAATAGAAAAATTAAATTATTTTAATACCTATAAACTATAGTTTAACTATAGTTTATTTTGGGTCCGAAAAAACTGATTAACAATCGACTTATTTCACTGCATACTTTTAGTCGCCTTTAAAAGAGATTTTAGATGATTTGAAAACCCAAGTGGTTTAATATAACTTTACAACTTAACGCAAAAATAATATTAAAAATAATATTTTTCCATATTTACTAAATTTTTGTGGCCAAATTATTATATTTGCATTCCATTTCCAAAAACCACAAAACTGTAAATTTCACTTTTAGCCAAGAATCATTAAATGTGACATCATTAGAGGTTGTTAGCCAATATTTATATTTATCCTGCCCCTTTTTCACCCCCATTTCGGTGTAGATATTTTTCTAGGCCAAACATTTCATTAGCATTTTTGTCTCACTTGTTTGACATGACAACAGTTTAATGTCATCGATCAATTTAAGTGGCTTTCGGCAGCAAAAGACAGGAAAATTTGCCATTAATTAGCCAAAGTTTGGAAGACATCCCTTTCGACTGCCCGAAACGAAAAAAAAGCTCTAGAAATAACAAACGAGACAAAAAATGAAACAAAAACAAATGAGACAACCGGCTAGACAAGAAACGTGGGTTGTCTCTAATGATGATGATGGGCCTAAAAAACAAACTAAGCCAAACAAAGGCCAACCGAAAAAAAACTGTCGCCAATTTATATTTGGCACTGAAAGGACACTGGAAAAGGGTCACTTAAAACTCATCAATTGAGAAATTAAATTTAAAGAACATACAGTATTAAATTCATTAGCAAGAAAGTAATAAATTAGATTTAGAGATTCAGTTGCTAATCCAATTTATTTTATTTTCATGACATTGGCATGTAAGCAATTAAAGAAATTACAATTTGTGTATTATCAAGTGTAAAAATCAATAAGCTAATTATGTAAAACCAATTTGCGCCCTTTTATTGTGTTGCAATAATTTATCTATTTAGGCATGCCAATTTACCCTTTAATTTCTACTTCGCAGAAGATTAAAATGTGCTGAAATGCTTTTTTTCTTAGATAACTTTAAATCAAATTCTTTATTTTAAAAATAATACATAAATAAATTCAAACATTTTTTTAAAAATATATTCTGGCTAAGCAATTTTATACAAAGGCTTCGAAATTGCACTTTAAGGTATTTAACAGTCCAAAACAACCATTCTAAAAGTTTAAATTGGCTTTAATTAATTTTAATCAATGCAAATACTACAAATTTATATTTTTAATTGAACGACACAAAGGTGGAGAGTAAATAAAACAACAGAGTCAAAAACCAAATCAACAAAAGCAGCCCTTATTAACTGAAAGTGAATTATACTGTAATATGCGGCACGTGTTTAAATATTCGTTGTATTTTTCCGATATTTTACCGCCGAGTTAATCAGGCAACGTGCTTTTAACGAGCCCTTTGTTGTGCTCGTCGACTGACGTAAGGCATTAATTTTAAATATTTTAATAAATAAAATGAAAGCAAATCGAATTATGGTTGGCAGGATAAAATGGCAGCGATGGAAAAGAGTGCATAATCAACTGCTGACGTATTTTATATGTATACTTTAAAAGGAGTTATATTAATCGAAGTTAGCAATACACTATTAATTTATTGTTGTTAAATTAAATATACATTTTTTTAAATTTTAAATATGGGGTGCCACCGGAATTGCTACGTTTTTAAAAGTACTTTTAGGTGTCTAAAAGTATGCAACAATTTATTTTAAGCCTAAAAAATCACTGCATACTTTTAGACAAATATTTTGCGATTTGGAAACCCTAGTAATTTCGGAGGCACCTCATATATCATGCTAATCTTATAAATAAAATAAAAAATTTTATAAATTACTTCTTGTAATGAAAATTAATTCTCTTAAACCTAATTAACATTTTAGGGACTAAAAGCCCGTTTAAATTCCTTCTAAAATGTAAGTACTACATCCAAAACGTACCCAAAGTAATAATACCTTTTTGTGGGAAGGTAAAACTCAAATTTGATGGCCATTTCTGGACAAGACGGCTTACGATAACCGTTTAATTGCATATTAAAAGGGCCCAAATTGAGCACGTGTCTATATGTAACTGGTAAATGCAATTACTCCCGAATGCCTGGCAGTTGTTGCAAAATTTAATTACAAAAGTAAATGTTGAAATATGTGTGCTGTGTGCTCCCAGCTATCCAGCGACATCATTAACTTTTGACTGGGGCCAGACGAAGCGCTTTTCCTTGCAGGTTTTCCACCTACCCACTTTTCTACCATCATTTCGAATGGAAATTTCACCGCAGGCAAAAGATATACACAGATATATAAAATGGCATGTGTCCACACGTAGGTGGCCTACAGGAAAAAGCTCAAGCAGATCAACGGATGAGGAAAGCGGGAAAATGGAAAAGTCTACATTGGAATTGCCCCCCTTTTTATCATCCTCCATTTTCAGTTCGTATTATTTTTCAATTAAAGGACAGCTAAAGTTTTCTTGGTCTATTCTCGTGCTCTGTTGTTCTCAGTATTTTAAATATCAATTATGCAAATGGACGTTCTCATTTTCATAATCCATAATAAAGAAACAAAAAAATATTATTATCTATATATTTATAAGTATATAATGGCCGCAACTACATACTAACAATTTGCATTTATGAGCACTTGTTGAAGAGTTTAGTCTGGTTTTTATTTTTCCTCCATTGTTCTGGACAGGCTGACGTCAGGATAACACCGAGTTGGTATTATAATCCTGCGGGCGGAAGACTACTTGTCACTGGGATTAACATCTTTATAATGCAGGCAGAGAGAAAGTTTTGCCGTCTAACTTTTGCTCACACACAGAATCGTTTTACATACGCTCATAAATCAGTCAGCGAGTTGAAGAGTTTTTCATGCAAAAAGGGCCATATTTTATGGCCCAGAGTGAACCAATTTTCTATTGAATTTTTAACAATTTATTGCAACGATATATCAATCTAGAAACTTTGCCAATTTTCCATGTATCAAAAATAACCTGGGATTTGTAGGTAAAAATATTTTCAACAATTTTCGGGAATCAAATTGAGTTTACAGGCGAACGGGTTTTAGCTTCTTTATCTTGTTTTTCAGCCGAATTGGCAAACTTTTCATTAGCTAATGCCAGCGGTTGGCAATTAGTCGACTCCCTCGAATAATAATCCCCAGCAATTTTACCCACTAATTCCAGACAATTTGAGCCGCCCTTTGGGCCACGCCCCTTGAACTTTCGCGAAACGAGAAGCGAGTGAAATCAAGTAAATTATTGTTTTTGATCCAAGAGAGTCTCATGTTGGCGGCGTGGCACCCACGTCGAAGCTCTGGGCGCCTGCAATTCCCACAATAAATTCAAATAAGCCCACTTATGCCACCCGAAAACCATAACCATTCGTTCATCCACATCTGCACCTTGGATCCCTGGGATCCCTGGATCATTGGGAACATGGAAACTTGGGACCTTGGGTCCTTGGGTCCTCGGTTTCTCGGCATTCCTTTGGCCCACTGAGCCGTCGACTTCAAAGGCGTTTAACAGCAGCTGCTACTGCTACTGCTGCTGCATCGGTGAGGTATTTAGTAATGAGCTCCTGGAAGAAGAAGGGAGCCTAAGCCATTCTTAGGACCTTCCCCACCAGAATTGAGTTGATACTTTGGCCACCTTTGGCGGGAAGGCCGCCCACGGAATCACATAATGGGTGGTAAAAGGTAATTTTGGTTGGCAAACGTTAAATACCCTAAAACAGTTGAAGGATATTGTGGTTTCAACTTGAAGGTACTATCATCTATTTTATTAAATGGAAATTTATCAAGATTGTTTCTAGATATATTTGGAAAAAAATTTTAAATAAATATAAGAATAGTTTGTTTTTTACTTTTAAATTAATTAATTTTGTAATGATATTTATTTTAGAATAATTAACTATTAAAATATTTCTTATGATAATGATATGATATGTAACGGCAGTCAAAACCTCTCTAATATATTTTATTTTAGTTCAATCGAAAAATGTTAAAAACAACTTTTTATCTTTATCTTTATAAATAAAACTTATTTTTAATCTTAAAAAAGTTGTGATAAAAGTTTATTGTTTTAGAAAGAAATACAGAATTTAATTTTAAAACTACTGAAAGTTGTTTAAATAAAGCACCTTATGTTAGGGTGTAGGGTGCGTTTGCCCTACATGCTTATACACATTATATTCGCAATGTGTACTACACACACAGACATTATGTGGGCGTGACCCGTGCGAAATTCGAACGACAGTTGCCCTGTCAAAGTGTCGACCCGACTGTCGTCTTGTTTTTTGGGTTTCGGTTGGTTCTCGGTTCTCTTCAGTTCTCTCTACAATTCATTTTGGGGTTTTTGCTTTGCCAGCTGTCGACATTTGCCTAAAACTCTGGGGTGACAAAATTTGTGCGATGCTTAGGGTCAGAATATTTGGCAACAGGCCACAGTGATACTCTGCATCCCACACCACCTCTTTCATGACTAATTAGGCAGCAACATCGGATAGTGCAGGAAAAACATAAACCTTAGACATCAAGTTCCCAAAAGTAGGCTACAAATTGCATAAACCCATAAAATGTGGGCATAAAATTGAGTTAGTGCAGAGAGAAAAAAATGTAGAAAGAAAATTAACCAAAAAACATAAAACATTATTTAGAACAGATTTCAGGATTGCTTTATCATCGACCCAAGAACCATTTCCTAAGAGACGTGTTTATAAAGAATGTGCCTACTTCAGCTTATACAAAAAAAAAGAAAATAGAACATTGATTAATTTAAGTACTTCATTTTATATTAACATGAAATACTCCCTAAGGCCACAGAAAACACAAAGATTTGAAATTAGCCTTTTAAAGGAGTCTAAAAGTATGCAATAATATTATCATAATAAGAATGCACTTTGGTCCTTTTTTTAAAGCATACTTATAGACACCTTTATAAGTCATTTCAAAACCCGAGTCATTTATATTATCAAAGTAGACACTTTAGATTACTAGTTATTTTCCCAGTGTTTACAATTCCCACTCTGGCTTTCCTAAAACTCAAAATTCCAGCCCCAATTCAGTCATATAAATTAATGTGCTGTGTTACGGTATGTGAAAATCCTATTTAATTGCCTAGGCAACCAACACCTGCATGGGTCGGTGACCATTTTCATTACGCCGCCTGCCATTTGAAGCGGATCTCAGACAGTCTGTGTATTGCACTTCATTTCCAATTAACCACGCTGCCATTTAAAGTTGATGTCACCCCACTTGTACGAATTAAAAAAAATGAAAATGAAATGTGAAAATAAAAATAAAAGTACAGAATGAATAAAATGGGGAAATTGTTGCAGCTAGCTGGGGGGAAACCCGGATAGAGAAAGGAGAAACTTCACACATCTGTGGCACGTGCATTGGCCAGAGACTGAAAGAGCTGATTTAGATTTATGTGGATGGCGACAAATTGTGGGGAAACTGAAGTGGATTATAAGTGCCGCCGGAGGGGAAAAAATCAGAAGATTACCCAGCTTGAAAAACTGAAATTGCTACAAACATTAAAGATTTTATTTTCGCTTTCGCACACCTCCCGAGTATAATCTGCATGTATATATTTTTCAAAACTTTTTCTCGCTTGACTAAACCCCTTGAATGACACCCATTGTTTGGCCAGAAAAAGTTGCTCTCTAAATAGCAACAGCAGCAGCAGGAATAACAACAATTTTTCTAGATTTGTCATGCATCAAATATTGTTTTGTCCATTTTCCATATAGCAATCCCATGTCTCTGCTTTTTATGTCGGATTTTCCATTATTAAAAAGTTTGCAATGCAACGTTTTCTGCTATTCTCCACATATCATGGCTACATTTTTGATGGTCAGCTGGGAAAATGGCTTTCACCTACTTTGGCCTACTTACACTCAAGTTTTTCTTCTCCTTCGCTTTTTTTTTTGCAAATTTTCTGAACTTTATCTGCAGTGCCCACATGATGTTGTCTGGTTGGGAATGTAGCATAAAAAAGGTTTAAGTTCTCTTATTAAGTTAGCCAGACCGCACATATCATAAGCATAAGCAAGTTGAGCGGTCAACAGATGTTGCCCACAACTTTTGCCTGGGCTAAAACAGAAAACAGAAAAGTGCAGGAAATTTAAATGGAAAAATGGAAACCAAGAAAATCTTCACAGGCTTTGACTCGGTTTTCAACTAATGCATTAAAACCACTTTAAATGGTTATTTAAGTAGGTTAATTTTCTGTGGTCTACGATAATGTAACTAGCAACATGTTGTTGATGTTCAGATTTTACTGGAAAATAGTTTTTAATGTGAAACATGCATTGTGGAAGTCCAACAATTATAATTGGATACATTAGTATTTAATTAACGTTATTTTAAATTGGTTTAGTTAACTTTACTTCTTGAAAATAAATAAAAAATAAATAACATTAATATATAAACTTGATTAATAAAACAAATGAGTTATAATTAGCAAAATAATAAAACATAAATTCGATATAATTAGTTTCACTTTATAAATATTTATAAGACAATGTAATGTAAATTTTACTTTTGTCTTTAATTTTTTTAGAACATTTGATTCTTTAATAACTAAAACCAACCTTTGACTTATTCTTCAAGTAAAAATATATCCTAAAACCTTAGTAATTTCTGTGATTGTCATAACGAATTCGTTTAAAGAAGATTATGAATCCTTTGCATTACTCTCGCAAGAGATACAGAAGATCAGGCCCTCAAACCACCAGGGGTTACGTGTTTCTGATCATCAAAGTTTCGATTCTAGTGGCTCTCTGGAGTGGCTTCACATTGGTCCTCCTTTCGCACAAATCGGATGGGGTCACCAAAACGATGGTGACCGTGATGCCCAATAAGACGGTCCTCAGGGATGTTAAAATGAAAGAGAAACCCGTTCAGATAATCCTCGAAGGAGCCATTTGGTCCTATCCCACTAATAAGTTCCGAAAAGCACACAAATTTCCAGCCGTCGCAGTTCGTTTGGAGTGGCGTGATGGGAATATGAACTTTAGCTATCGACGAACAGGCAAGTGGATGGTTTATTTAGCTAAGGATAAGACAAAAATGGAACCAGTTCGAAAGATCTTCAAGTTTCACCCATTGCTATGGAGTAATGAAAATGAAAGTATTATGACTAAGCATATTTCGAAAAATGTTTCTGATGATCCAATGCCAAAATGGTCCTATGCCAAGACGGTGATTTCCTTGGAGAGCATGAGTGAGGAACCAGTGGGTTTGCTTATGACTGTGAATAATTCACCTTTGCATGTGAATTCTTTGTGTGTCATGTACGCGGCCTTTTTAATTATCGGTCTCTTAATAATGTTCATCTGGGATTTAGGGGATCGAACCTTGTGCACCCTACTAACAACTTGTGCCGCTCTGGCCACACTAACAGTTGTGGGCAATAGACCAAGTTTTAAACAAATAATGTCCTGGGTGGATTTTGAGACTCTGATGTTGCTCCTCGGGAATATGGTAATGATGTCCCTAATGGCGGAGACGGGATTCTTCGATTACTTGGCTGTTGTGGCCTATAGGATATCCAAGGGTCATGCCTGGTTGCTGATTGCCCTTCTGGGGGTGGTAGTATCTCTATGCTCGGCTTTTCTGGATAATGCCACTGTGGTCCTGCTCTTTAGTCCCGCTGTCGTTCGACTCTGTGAAGCGATGGCCGTGAGGACAACGTTGGTTTTAGTAATCATCGCCTTATATGCGAATATCGGGGGATCCGTAACCCCAGTGGGTGGACCACCCAATGCTATTATAGCCAACAATCCGAGCGTGGCCTCTGCCATTGATATAAGCTTCATTCGATTTTCGCTACGAATGCTTCCAGCGGCCGTGATTTGTATGATAGCCGTATTTGGCATATTCTACATGACCATGAAGGAGAGGATCTTTATGCTGGATCAGAATCAAATAGAGTTGGATCAGAAGAGGCGGGATGAGGTGAGATTAGAGATGTTTAGCGATTAAAAGTCCTTTATAAGTTCGATACCAAAATATTGCTCATCGAAAAAATCGAAATATCGAACAATATCACATTTAAGAATCAAGTATCGATACTATCGATATTATCCAAAAAATAGAGAAAAAGTCATAAGACTTTTAGATATCGTCAAGTTTGATGCATTGCAATTTTTATCGAAAAAATTCACAATTATCGATTTATTGCAGTATCGATTTAATGATATTTTCTTCGATTTCTAGATAAGACCCAGATTTGATATCCAGCTGCGGATTGCCGAACTGCGAAGAAATCAGCCAAGAAGGCCGTGGCTTCAACCGGCTTTTAACTATTTTGAGACCCTGGCAACCCTGGAGGCGAGTAATAGGATTCGCAAGAAGATGCTCCTGGTGCAATCCCTTATGGCCCTTGGATTTGCCGCCTCCTGCTTTATCTTGACATCGGTGCCCTCGGCCATTCCCGGAGCATCTTTGGGCTGGATATCCATATTGTCTGCCTTTCTGCTGCTCATCATGGCCGATAAGAAAGATATGGGTGAAACCCTGGGCCGAGTGGAGTGGGGTGTAATGCTATATCTCGCCTCTTTCTTCGTTCTCACCGAGGTGCTAGTCCAACTCGGACTAATCCACTGGTTGGGCCAAAAGGCGGTGAAGGTGATGAAAACAGTGGATTGTCCATATCAGACCATGATCGGAATGCTCCTGATCCTCTGGATTTCGGCCCTGATGTCATCGGTTATCGATAATGCTGCGGTTGCGACCATAATGGTGAGGCTGTGCATCGATATGGCCTTCGATGATGGGGTGAATGTGAAGATAATGCCTCTGGTTTGGGCCACCTGCTTTGGAACCTCTTATGGGGCCAATGGAACGCTTTTGGGATCGTGTGCTAATGAATTTGCAGCAGTGGTCGCCAGGGCCTACGGCTACGAGATCAGCTTCCGGGCATTCTTCAGGGTAGGTTTTCCCATCATGCTCCTGACCATCGTCATCTGCACTCTGTTCTTGATGATCGCTGATTCCGTTCTTTCCTGGCAATAGATCATCTGTCTTATAAAAATAATTAAATATATAATATGATTCCCTAAGAACTAATAGATGTCTTTTCTAACAGATCCTTTGAATACTTATAGCCTTGCTAAACCATTTAAGTTATTATTTAATTATTTTCTAACAATTAATCTTGCTAATAAAAATGAAATATTAATAAAAATCAAATACCATGAACACTTTAAGGAACCACAAAAACACATAATTCAATAAAATGTGTTATTATTAAATTTTAGAAATATGTTTGCGGTTTGCTTATATATTGTCTACCATGGGTTTTATGGTTTATTGCCAAATTTGTGGGCTTCAAACAGTTGGCTCCGCAAATATTTGCAGAAACCATTGAAATGGCCGTTTAGTATACAACACCAATTTCTGTCATGGCTGGCAAATGCAAATGAGTTTTATTGTTGCCCAGTCAGAGGCCCCAACGAAGTTTTGGCGCCGACAAAACGCGTGCATGCAGAATATACATACATGAACTGAGAATAAAATTAAAAAAGACGGTATAAGAAATTCAATAATATAAACACACATATTTTTAAGAAATTTTTTATATTAAAATAAACTTACAGATTTTAATTTCCATATTCAAACAGGATATTTCAATGATTTTTAATTCCAATTTTTTATGTTTTATTAACATTTTTTATTAGACTAATATTAGAACACAAACATTTATAATAAATAAATAAATATTATAAAAAATATATATTAAAATTGCTCTAAATTGAAAATAAAACATTAAATATATATTTATTAAATAAATATGGAATTTTTTTTTATTTTGATCTTTTTTTCTCAGTGCAAGAGCGCGTATCGATGCATTCCCACGCACATATGGGCTTCTGTATATTAAATCGCATTTTCGTTGGCGTCTTTTGTTTACCAAATTGAATTTTTCATTACCGCCTGACCAAGTGTTGTTGTTAGGATGTTGTTGGTGTTGTTTTGTGCTGCAGTTGGCGGTTCTGGTCCTTTGGACCCCCTTTCAAAGGACCCCCCTTTTGGCCCATCCTAACACTCCTCGGCGAACACACACGCTTTCGGTTTATAATTGGATTTTGATTCGTTTTGCATAAAAAGTATGCTTACATCCAGACGCCAGACTATTCGGTGAAAACGCGCTATATATGTGCTCGAATTTTATGGCTTCCACAGAGGCGTCGCTTTGTCCATGACTAAAATCGAAAAAAGGAGAGGAAAAAAGTGCGTGACCCAGTCGCAATAATAACGAAAAAACATCTGGAACCCTTATTGAACCACTCTGCTCCTACTTTTCCCTTTTCCCTCGCTTGCAAATAATTCGACTGCATTTTCACTGGCTAAAAATATATATATGGCTTTAGTATTTATTGCATGTCCACACCACAAAAAACCCTACATACATTCGTATATTATATTTGTCCATTTACATATTGAATTTACATGCGATGCTTATGCAGCTTCATTTGATTGGCACAAATACATAAGTCAAGTTGCGAATCGAGAAAATGGGGATATGAAAAATCAGTTTTTTGGCCCACCCAAGCAGCTGTTGTTCAGATGACTTAGTTTACTTTATTGGGTCATCAATTGGGATTTATCGGGATCAGCAATTTAATATTTTGGCTCAAGGAAAACGGAGAGGCTGGCCAAAAAATGTGGTTTGTGGTTTGGAAAGATACAAGGTTTTTTCTTGTCAAGCAACTGAACTAAATTAATTCAAATTGACAGATATTTATTTTATTTATGTTCAAACTCTTTATTCAAAAGCATTTATCATCAAGACCTTTATTTGTTTCTTTGTTCTATTGGCATCGTGCAATTAAATAAATTAATAAATTAATAAATCACTGGGGTTTTAAAATCACTTTTAAATATTAAAATAGGTATCTAAAAGTATGCAACAATATATTTTAAATTCAAAAATGGCACGAATTTATGCAGCAATGCGACTATATTTTAATCATACCATACTTTTAGGCGCACTTAAAAGCGATTTCAAGTCCCTAATAAGTTCACTTTATTTTCTTAATTCTGTATAATATTTACCTAGGATTGCAGTGCTCTTTAAAAATTAAATCTCTTTATTACATTATTTTTATATAATCTTTTTATTTTGATTTTTTTTTCCAGAGGGACAAGGCATTTTCTACCCTTTCCCCCATTCCCTTTAACTATTAACCAACCTAAATTATGGTCAACTAAAAAAATGAGTTTACAAGGTTCCGGAACAAGTGGCTCGTAAGCAGGGTTAATCTCTCCATCTTGTTGCCACTTACCACTTAGCCGGGCCTAACCAACTCATAAATCTACCCCAACCACCGAGAAGTGGACACTGTCCACGAGCACACCTTCTAAATTACCCATTCCCTAGAAAAACGGAAAACCCAGCAGAGGCATATTTAATTTTTTTTTATTTTTTTTAGACCAAGTCCAAGTTCTGGCGCCGACATGCGTGCTTTATTGGCCATAATCTCGGAGAGGAGCAGCACGGGGCACTTAGCACTCCTTAAGTTTTACAACTTCACGCTCAATCAGACGCTGCCAACGGCTGCAAGCCATAAAAAGTAACACCCCGAACTTCAAACTTTAACCCCAGACAGAGTCGAATGCGGAAGGATTTTTTTATGTATCTTTAAGGTAGCGTAAAAACTTGGGTTGGGCTTAGCTTATTTTTTTTGGTCTATTGTTGCGGTTGTCCTAAACCCAGAAAGTAAATAAATACTCCCGGGTATTCAGCTGGCCCGGATCCCCTTTGTTTATCGTTGGGGCTGCTGAACACCTTTTATCCTTAAAATTTAGGCATATCAACGATGGCAGAAGATATGGTTTATTTTTATTTTATTCCTTTTATTCCTTAACCCAAAATGCAATAAAAGAATTTACATAATAAAGGTCAAATTCAGAAATAGGTACTTACAATTGTAAATTGCATAAAATTTGTTATGATTTTTTATTGCTTAAAAAGTTTTTAGTTTTCCGCTATTAAATCATCAAACCATCCCTTTCCCATAATATAAACTTTTATTCATTTTTTATTTCTTAGGAGATTTCCTTTTCGCTATTATATAAATTATACAAAATTTAAGCATATTTTTACGTCAAATGTGAAGTTTAGATTAAAGTTAGAGGAACTTAAAAAAAACGTAGAAATATAAATTTATAATATAGTTAAGATAATATAAAGTTTTATTGCTCAAAAGGTTTATCTTTAAATTTTTTAAATATATATAGAATTTTTTGATTAAATGTAAAAGAATATTATTAAAATTATATTATTTTAAACATACTTAACCCAAAAGTTACCCATTATATCACAATTATTATACGAAATTTTTCTTTTCAGGGAATTCATCGAGTGACCTAACTTACCTTCCATTTTTCTGTTTTTGTTTTCGTTCTTTGGTGGTTAACTATTCTCTGTTTTTTAGGACTGACCCCTCTCATGTTTCCCATGGCAATGCTTTTACACAAATTATTTTATTTTGCGTTGGCAGAAAAGAAATAATAAATTATGGCAACGGAAATCAAAAGGCCACTTCAGCGACCAAGTGTGGCGACCAGAGAAGAGACATATTTTGCTACCCATTCTATTGGATATGGATATACACCCCGGATATATAGTTGCCATGGCCGGAGGGAAGGGGGGTTTTCCGAGGCTATAATAAAGCATAACGAGCTTGGGTGTCAAGTGGGCGGCGGGTGGGCAGGTTGCTACTCACTTGAGATTGTTGCCACCTTAACAACAACAACAACAACTTGGCCCGGTTGTTTGCTTTGTTTTATGGCTAATTTTAGACAATTTATGAAGTGTTGGTTATGCTTGATAAGAGCCTCTAGCGGAAGCAACAACAACACGAACAACAAACAATAACAAACTGCGGAACAATTCATGCAAATGAGCTGCGCTTAAAGTCCTCGCCTTGGCACATTACGCATACGCCCCGTAATGCGCGACAAATGATAAAGCCGCGTAAGCCGCTCCCTGAGTTTATATATATGAATGTATATGCAAGCAGCTACCCTTCAAGGGGGCATAAAGTTATCACGGCTGACATATGAAGTTGTTAATTTTCAACAACAACAAAGCTCTGGAGCACCAGAGTTCAAGATGAAAAAGCGGAAAACATAACAAATGTCTTTTCACAAGAGTTGTTGACAAGAGTGGCTGACATCTTCATCTGAATATATGTATGTATTTTTTTGAGGGTTCCCTAATGTTCCCATGTGGGAAGCAGGAAAATAAACTTGATAACTTGAGAGTGGTAATTAAAAATTATCTCCCGGAAATCCGAGTGCATATTAGGGTAATAAATATATGAGCACAATGAAAGGAAGCCTAATTTATGACTAATGCATTGAAATATAAAATAATAATTATTATATAATTAGCTAAGTAAATCACTAAAAAAGGTGTCTAAAAGTATGCTTTAATTTATTTTGATAAATGTAGATTCAAAAACCAAAAAATAACAACAGATAAAGCCGTCAATAAGGCATGATTTTCCTTTGACTTTTAATTATAATTAAAAATAACCAAAATACAATACGAATAATGATTAAAAGGCCACTGCGGAAATCAAATTCTCGGAAAAGCGAGCAAAATGCCAAATGAATGAAAATTAAAATCGGTAATGCAATTTCCAGCACAACCACATTTCAAATTAGCCACAGCTCGACATTTACTGTTTACATTATTAAAAGTAATCAAATATTATTTTCCCCCCTCTTTGCATTATGGTCAAAATAGAGTTGGACGATGGATGGTTGAAAGCGAGACGGTTTAATTATTCAAATGAAATTCTAAATAAATTGATAGGCAGCACTGTTGGCAAGTGTTGTGTGTTTTCGGTTTTTCGCCACTGGAGTGGCGAGAGTTTTGTTTGCCCAACCATTGAACATTTTCAAAACTTTATTTGTCTGGCTGGCTGGCATTTTGTGGCATTTTCTGTGGTCCTTTAGGAATTTGTGCCCCCGAAAATTCCTAAAAAAAAAAGAAAAAGAACAAGCATTAATGTGGCAACCACTTTAAGCTGGAAATCCGCTTACAGCAAAGGGACTGGACCGAAAAAAGTCAACGAATGCCATCAACTTGTAATACATATTTTTTATGGTCTTTTAATAGAGTCATAAAAGTGCATTGTTTTGATCCCCAGTCAGTCTGGAGAATGTTTTGAATTATGTGGTATTTTATTAATGGCCCACTGACATGATAAGATGGAGATGTCTATTGATTTATGGAGGTAAGTCGTCCTGTAAGCTGCATCCCCATTCTCCACGCCATCATGCATTCGCATAGTTGGAAATCCAATTAAAAGTATTTTCGCCAAACAGCTATTCAGCTTGATGAACTATTTCCTCCGGCTGGAAATCAAGCAGCTCGAGATATTTCAAAGAATGCACTGAAAAACGGTTTTTTAAATTACCATTATTTCATGTATTTCAATATAATCATTAGGTTTGTTGAATCTAATGTGAAATAAATCAATAAATATAAAATAAATAAGTATAACAACAATTTAAAAAATATGTAGGTAAATTTTGCAATGGACTATTAAACTTATCATTTATTTATTATTAAATAAAAACTTTTAGATCGATTTAGTAAGGATTTAACTTATAATTTTCAATCTAAATAATTTCGCTTTCAATTTATAGAAAAATCTTTTTTAAGTCAATGAAAATACTAGAAATATTTTCAGTGAAAATCCTTTTTTCTGCGAATAAATACTAAAAACTGCCCTCGTAACAAGTTATTCAAGACCAATCGATGCAGCTTTCCACTTAAATTTATTCCGTTCCCCCGACTTAAATGTAGCATTTGGTTCATTGAACCGCAATGTAAACCTTTCGGTTTTTGAGTAGGAAGAAATCTCGGTGATGGATGATGGATGATTCACTATCCCGGTTCCAATTCCGATCCCGACGTGGGTCACTCCAACACGCGCCAAAGTTTGGTCAACTTTATAAATGCCGTACCCCCATTTTCCGTATTTCCCATTTTCCATTTCCCGTACTCCCCATTTTATTCCCATTTGGTTTTGCCCTCTACTTAAGCACGCGCTGGCAAGTAAAATGTTTCAGCAACTTTCAACTTTGACATAATGCAAATTATTTGATTTCATTTTATTATTTGTTTATCTCAGAGAGAGCGACTCGCCCATCTGCCTGCCTGCAAGTTTGGTAAGTGTTTAATTTGGTAAAGTCGAGGGAATGGAGGGGAATGGGGAATGAGGACCTGCCATACATTTTAATAGCCACGGCACATAAGCCACTTTGCTTTCTGTGTGGGGATGGAACAGTCCTGGCCATGTCAAACCACAAAACAATTTAAGTTACAAACATTGGAAACTTTTCTATTTGTCGCAGCAACAAATTCGCAACAGCCAAAAGTTTTTGTGGGTGGGGAAATGAGGGGAAGTCCCAAACTTTTCAGCTATTTTTTTCATTACGATTTCTCTTCTTTTTTTAGGGCAACATCCTGGAATTCTCTACTTCACTACTCGTCGACGACTGGTCATTGCTCATACGCCCCGTGGGCGAGACTCGTGTCTGTCAATTGCTGCCGGCACACGGTGCGTATGATTGACATCGCCCCTCGCAGCAAACAACGAATTCAATGATTAGCTCACTTGAGCGCACCGCTCATCCATTGGCTCCACTTATATTATGTTGCTTCATTTAATATGTTTGGACGTTGATTAATTGTCTGTTTATGTTTCTTGTGCTTTTCAACTTGGCAGAACAGATGTTTTTCACCAGTTTTTGCAAAGAATTAAAAAATGAGTTTTCTTATTTCAAGGCGCGAATTCTTATGTTTTATTACTTAAGAATTTGCGGAATTATTACTTAAGAATTCGCTGCTTCTGTATGAAATCAAGAAATTACTCTTAAATTTTAAGACGCGAATTCTTAATTTTTTTGTTACTTAAGAATTTGCGGCTTCTGTAAGAAATCAAGAAGTAACTTTTATAATTTCAAAACGCGAATTCTTAAGTTTTATTACTTTACAATTACCGGAATTGTTACTTAAGAATTCCAGTTATGAAATAGGAACTTAATTTTGTATCATAGAACTTCATTAAAAAACCTCCGCCTTTCCTCTTGAAGTTTAAGATTAAATTTATTAATTAATTTTAAATCAGTTATATTTATAATGTATACATATATAATTTTTACAGTTCGTAAAGCTAGCTCGAAAATGTTTTTTTTTCTTTTCCACTATCCGTAAATTTTTTTCACCACTTTTACCATATTTTGGATTTGGTTTATTTCGGTATTTTTCTAAAGTTTTTCGCTCTGTTGACAATTCTCAAAATGTAAATTTCTGAATACAAGGTTTATATGGGAATTGGTTGTGGTTTATGTCTGGCGGTCTTAAAATATCATACAACTTAGGTTCTATAAGCGGTAAAAGGGTTTAAAGGATTTAACAACAATTGTAGCTAACACTTTAATCATATAACGAAAGTTAACTAAAAGGGGGGAAAAAGGGCCGAAGCTAGAACAAAATGGGTTTATTTCACTCGAAAATTTTCAAATCCTCCATTTTGGCAGGGCAACAGAGTCTAAACCGAGATATATTAGCAGCAGGAGCAGCTCCACGACGGAAAAAACACACAGATATTTGTAACACCATCGCGTGGCTTTATTCTCCTCCTTGTCGGGTTTAATTAAAAATCTTTAAGGGAAAGAGAATTTAAAATAGATTAATTTGATATTTTTATGGAGTCTTATTTAAAGTAAACTGCACTAAAACAACTTTTAAGTTAAGTGATAAATATGAATGGTTTAATTGACTTGAATTTAATTAAAATAATTTGAATAAAAACAAAAGAAACGCTTTCTTCAAAGAATTTCCAAAAAAAACCAAAATAACATTAGAAAACATAAAAGAAATTTTGTATGTTTTTAATTATGATTGGCGATTTATAAAAAAGCTTACAATATTAATTGTTTAATGGAATTTATTTAAATATTAAAGAACAAATTTTCTTCAAAGAAATTTTTATAAAATAACAAAAATTACTTTCTAGAATTTTCCAATAGTTTAAGTTTCTATTTCTGACGCAAAAAATGCTATCAGTATGATTTATACTTAAAAATCGAATGGTTAAATAAAGAACATGACTAAAACTCATCATAAAACCCCTTAAAATCCCCCATATCGCACCTGATCTCGTTACAGAAGCTCAGCCAACTCCTGCTCCTGGGCCAGCTGCTCCCGTTCCCGCTCGCGATCCCGCTCCTGCAGCTCCTTGAGCTCCCGGTCCGCCCGCTGCTGCTCCTCCTCCTCCTCCTTCTGCTGCTGCTGCTGTTGCTGCTGCTGCTTCTTGCGGTGCTCGTAGTTAACCAGCCGCTGACCCACCAGATACTTGTCCACCTTGATGGACAAATACAGCTTCTTCAGCTGCTTGATCTGGAACAGAACGAAGCAGATGCTGCCGACGACAATGAAGCTCACGGGATAAACGAGACGAGCGATGACATGCCGGGCATAGGCGTCGGCCAGGAAAATGGGGAACACCATGTGCGCGAGAACGTAGGGAGCGGCCAGAGCCAGGCCAAATGTGGTAACCACCGGCACGGCCAAGTCGCGCATCACAAACTTCAAGTCGAAATCACGCAAGCCATCCATATAGGCGCGTTCCAGTGCTCGTTTCAAATGCCAATCGGGACCCATTAAGGTTAAGGCGATGGCTATTTTACTGTAGAGGACTCCAAGTGCCCAATCCTGCCATAGGAAATGTATGGGTGTCTTGCGCAAGGGAACGCGCAGCGGTATGACCACCACCAGTTCGAGCAGCAGCCCAAACAGCAAAGGAACGAGGACAAAAATTCCAAGCAGCGTTAAAACTGGTAGGGCATATTGCAAAGCCACTCGTGCCCAGTGTTTTAGTTTGCTAACTATAGCAGCTCTTCCCTGTGGCAACAGGGTAACCACCACGGCCACTCCACGGCAGACAATCCAGCACAGATAGCCGCCAATCTCGGCGGTGTAGAGCTCATGCGAGCGCAGCAGTCGCTCGTTCTTTCTGATTCCCTCCGCATCCAAAGGTGCTAGATTAACAGCTGCTCCAACTGCTCCTCCTGCTGCTGCTGCAGCCGCTTTATCACCAGGAGTGCCGGTCCAGAGCATCATCAGGCGACGGCCAATGTAAACGGGCACGGTGAGTGTTAACATAGCAGCACAAACGATGGAGAAGCACATGAGGGAGAGGAGGGCGCACAAACGAATGGCGAAGAGCGAGGGTTTGTCGTAGGGTTGGAAACCCACGGGGGCATCGCGCTGCATAATTGCCTGATGGGCGGCGGCCAAGTTACGAGGAGCAGGAGCCGGTTCCACAGGCGGTGGTGGAGGCGGTGGCGGCGGTGGTGGTGCGGCAGCCTCGCCTTCTTGATTTTCAGCAGCATTTTCCACTCCCTCTTCCCCTGCAGCGGGATTTTCAGGCTCCGGTTCGGGTGCAGGTAGCAAATAGCTGCGAATTCCCAGCAACCAAGCCACCGCAGTGCACCAAATGCGCAGTAAACCCTTCAGCCAGATGCGCGTTTGGGTTTGCTCAAAGAAGCCAGGTAAAACGATCTAAAAGAAGAAATCTAATTACTAAAAATATACAATAAAAAGAAAGATAAACCCACCTGTAGCAGCAACAACTGCAGACTCAAATCATTAACCTCCGCATCGCCACTCAAAGCGTAGGGCAAAAAATTAGGCCAGGCCACTTGAAGAATTCTAATGGGCAGCCAGAGCATCAAGAAGACGGCAAAGCCAAAGATCATGGCCGAGGCGACCAAGCGACGAATGTGCCGCACAATTGGCACATGAATCATCTCCTGAATGGGGCTAAAATCGGGATCGTTGACATTGCGGAATATCCAGAGGACGCCAGGCCGCAAAACCTCTCTTAGCAGCGAGATAAAAGCAGCAAAGTAGTAAACATAGACCATGCCAAACATCCAGTGGACAAATAAAGAGGTTCCCGGCGCCGCCTTGAAGCTCGCCTTGCGATCCTTTAAGCTGGCATCCAGCAGGGGCAGCGAACAGATGTCCAACCACCAGCCGCAAATCAGGGGCAGCACTCCAATCTCCACCACCGAAAGCAGCGAAACCTTCACCACAATGTAGCACAATCCAATGAACCAGCAAACCCGGCGCAATCTGAACACTCTGGCGAAGAAGTGCAGCACCACGAGGGTCAATCCAATGCAGCAGTATCCAAATAGAGTGGTTATGAGGCCATGAAAGTGCAGGAGAGGCTTCTCCGGCTGCAAAAGGTCCATGGAACTCAGGATAAAGTTGCCCACGCAATACGGGCAAAAGGCAAAGGTAAAAATGAACATGGTGTTCAGCGAGATGATCCAGAAGACGTGCTCCAGGAACACCAGCGAGCCATCTAAACCCAGGAGTCGCTCCCAGGTGAGCTCCTCGGCGGCGCGATCCCATTCCATGGGATTCCAGTTCTGTTCATCGGCATCCGCATCCACAGCCGGAGCCGCTGGAGCTGCAGGAGCGGCGGCATCTTGTCCAGCTTCGTTATCCGCTGCTGCTGGTGGAGCCTCATTATCCATGGGCACATCCTGTGGCGCATTATCCGCATTATTGTTGTCATCCTGGGGTTGCGGAGGAGCTGCTTCCGCTGCAGGGGGAGCAGGATTAGCCGCTGCCGCCTGGAGAGGAGCATCTTCCCGCTCCAACCAGTCCGGACCGCCGCCATGGAGGATCTGCTCGCGTAGCCAGACTAAACCAATGAAGGATAGCAGCGTGCAGGTGACCACAAAGCAGCCGCGAAAGGCATCTGCTGCGAGGTTCTCCATGGAGAAGATATCAAAGGGTAGCGTGAGGATCATGTCGAAGGAGCTGGCCCGAAAGAGGTACCTATAGGTTCTATAGGCGGATAGAGGGACCACTCCAAACCAGGCCATTCCTACCAAAGAGTAGTGAAGCCAACAGCGGGCGCCCTCCAAAACGGCGGACATGAGGCCCACGAGGACATCCTTCAGCGGCAGGACACGCGGCATATCCGGGGCATAGATGGGCTGGAAACTGAAGCGATAGCCGCACAGCTCGCAGTATTCCTTGTGCGAGTAGCGCATCCATTGCATCAGGCAATCCTGGTGGATGTACTTGATCGATCCCGTGCAGATGCACGGGTAAAATAGAGGCCTGTCCGGCTGCGCCTCGCAGCGGCACACGCGGCATATGTCGCCCTGCGACAGGTCGTCCATTCTCCTGGATTCTTGAATCTCCTGGGAGTCCTTGAATCCTTAAATCCTCTTTTCTTCCACCTTCAATTCAAAGTTCCCTCTGCCATTTGCGCAATTTCGCTAATTGGCCCGAGGTTTCTCGGCCGCCTCAGCCGCTTCGCCCCGCTTTTCAACTACGCTAATTGTTATGCCCGGAAATTACGCACCGTTGAGCGGGATTAACACTTGAATTTTAACCGAGAACTTTATTATTACGACAAAACAAAAATATGCAGCTCACTTCACACAAAAAAAAAGTGGCCTGGCGCCAGTGCGTGCACACCACGTAAGTGCTGGGAAGCGGAGATGCCACCCAGGTTGTGACAGCACGGGAACGGTCAATAAATTTATTAAAAATAAATTTACTAATTAATTGTATAAACGTATATTTGGCAGCACGATCTTTTGTGTGTTGACCAGTGAAGAGTGCAAAGAGCGTAGTTGTAAGGTTTTTTAACATGGTTTGCCATAATTCCTTCTTCAATTATTAAAAATATAAAACCATCATGAAGAAATGTGTTAGAATTACTTAACAGTATTACTAATTCCGAATATTTTTATATTTTTGAAATTTCAGTACTCTGGAAGCATGAATACGGACTCAAATACCAAAGAAACTAAGTAATAAACTTCAATAGATTATTTAAACATATTTTTAGACAATTAATTATTTTAAAGACTTTAAATATTTAATTACATATTTTTTACTGCCAAATAAAAGTAACAGTGACTCAAGTAGCAGTTCCCTAACAGTGTGTCCACACCTAAAATGGCATTCCAGTCATACCTCGATCTGGCAACTCTATCCAGTGTTGTTGTTGTGATTCTCTTGTCATTATTTTGCAATCAATTCTAGAAATAATTTGCACTCGAGAAAAACTCCAAAAATAAGCGATGCAGCGACAGATGATAAATATCCTGGGACAGACGACGCGTCGTTTGGTCAGTGGGCAGTCCGTGCGCCCATTGTCAGTTTCCTCGCGGCGCCAGGAGATCTTCAAAGTGCAAAGTGCCGAGGATTTCGACAAGAAAGTGAAGAACAGCCAGCAGCCCGTGATTGTGGACTTTTTTGCAACGTAATTTGGGTTTATTTATGATAGTATATATCCCTTATTAATTGTTTTATTATTTTACAATAGATGGTGCAATCCCTGCAAGCTGCTGACCCCCCGAATCGAGGGAATTGTGGGCGAACAGGCGGGCAACATTAAATTGGCCAAAGTGGACATAGATGAGCACAGCGAATTGGCTTTGGATTACGATGTGGCCGCCGTTCCCGTCCTCGTCGTCCTGCAAAATGGCAAGGAGGTGCAGCGGATGGTGGGCCTCCAGGATGAGGACAAAATCCGCGCCTGGGTGGCCGCCGCTGTAAAGCAGGCCAAGTAATCCCAGAAATTACCCCCCAAAAAAACAAAATATAAAGCCAAGCTTTAAGTTACAATTCGGACTTTCGAAATAAATGTTTATTTACCCGTTGAAACAACAAAGTAGCTAAGATTACCGACTAAAAACTAAATGGAAAACCAGCCCGGAGTGCCGGGTCGCTTCTTATTCCTGTCCAGAAATCTGCGGAATCCCTCTTTCGATTCATCCAGCGACTTTTCCTCCTTTTCCTGCCTTTCAGCCTTTTCCGCAAAGAAGTCGGGAAACACAAACTTCTCTTCACGGGGCTGGAATATAAAGATATTTATAAGACATCACACATTATAATAGAACTTTGCCCAAAAACCCCATACCAATGTTACATAAGCTAGCTTCACATCGTCTTTCTTGGTGATATATCCATAGGCCTGATCCTTCTTGGTCTCTCCCAGGGCAATTCGGGTGCGCACATCCACCACCGGCAGTTTGTAGATCTTCTCTAGGTAGCTACGCACATCGTATTTGGTCATTTCCATTGAAACCGAAAAGGTAACCACATTTGGGGGCTGTTCCTCCGCCGGGCGAACCAGCTTCATCCAGAAGTTGGGCAGGAAAACGCGCAGCTGCGGATTACCGCGCTGATAGATGGGATACCACCTCGTGGACATCGTATCTTAGGAACTCTTATTTTTATTCAAGTTTTTAGAAATTAAATTAATTGTTGTGCGTTCACGGAATGCACTAAAAAAGGCCAGAGGTTTCGGGGAGGCACATGGTCGGTGAAAAAGGGGATTGGGGGTGTTGAAAGGCCCCAGAGGAAAAATGGTATTTATGTGTTAAAAGAAGCATTTATGAGCAATTAAATGACAAAAATACTTTCTAAAAATGGCAAAAATATATGTTATTTTAAATTGTAGGGGTAATTTCTCATTATCAATAACCAATAAATTCATTTTAAAATTTTCAATGAAATATATTTTAAATTTATATTTATAAACCCCTTTAAAAACTTTCCTTCTCCACCCCTGTCAAACCACGTGGGTTGTCCAACACTGTGGCAAAACAGCTGATTCCTCAAATCACAACAACTTTTAAATGTGATCCGGCTGAAATTGCTTGTAAATCCCACTCTAAAATGGTTAAAATAAAGAAGAAGGAAGCCAAAAAGGAGGCCAAAAAGAAGCCTTTGACCCGCAAGGAGCAGCGAAAGCAAAAGACAGAGCTCAAAAAGCAGAATAAACGTCTCTATCACGCCGGCAAAACTAACGGTTCACAGCGCGTGGCGGCGGCGGCAGAGGCGTTGGCAGCGCAGTCACAGCAGGGGCAGAACAAGAAAAAGAAGAAAAAGGGCAAAAAACCTGCGAAAAATATTATTGTAAATCCCGATGAAATTCCCAAGGAGCAACTTTTATCGGGGGAAGTGGCCAGCGATGATGACGAGTCCATCGATTCGGATTTCAGTGATCCCGAGGTGGATGCCCTGCTGCCCAAGAGGCTGAAAGTGGAGGTTTACCAACCTCTGCAAGGGAAAAAGGAGGGGAAAATCCAAGGAGGAGCCATCCAAAGGCCAAAGGATGAGGAGGCTGCCAGGAGAAAGGAACTCCGCCAGCAGCGGGAACTGGAGTCCAAGTCCAAGAAGCAGCGATTGAAGCAGTTGCGCCTGGAGAACGAGGAGGAGGATCGCGAGATCAACAAGCTGGAGAAGAAACTGAAGCTCAATAAATCCAAGGATAAGAATCGTTTGGTCAGGAAAATGTTCAACGATGGCTTGGATTACCTGCTGGACTTTGTCCTCGACGACGACGAGGAGAAGGCCAAGTGGGAGGAGAAGCAGGAGCGCAAGAAGCAACTGAAGGAGCAGCAGGCGAGGGAGGAGGCGGGCATGTGGAGCGATGAGGAGGAGGAGGAGCACCAGGATGACTTCCCGGAGGAGGATAGTGGCTCGGAGGAGGGTTTGGATGATGAGGAACTTAGTGGAGACGAAGAACAAAGCGAGGAGGAGTCGGAAGAGGAGGAGAAGGCACCTAAAGGTATGTAAATACACCTTATAATCAAGTAACTTTTATGAGTGATTCCTTATAAAACGTATCGAGATTTTCTTCACGGCCTCAAAAAGTTATCTAATTTTTATGGCACTTTCACACCATTTATAAAAATGTTTAACAAAAAATCCATTTGACAGAAGCCAAGATATGGCGATGCTATTTTTTTGTTTAATTAATTTATAATTTTAAATTACGTGTGGTAAAAAATAAATAAAAATACCCAAAAATTATTACTTTTGCCAAGCTTCCAGATAAAAATAACACCCATAATGGTTTCAGTGCAAAATATAGTCCAAACTTAAAAAAAAATATTTTATTCGCGGTTTTCTGCAAATCAACTTTTTTAATCTTTATAAAAAAATAGTATAAGTTTCTAATAGAAACTTTCTATACATAATTCTTGTTGGCTCCTGAAAGTTTCGTCCTGGGAATTATTATTACTTTCTACTCTATTACTTTCTGCATAATTTAATAAAATAATAAAACAAAGAATCACTCTTATATTAACCCATCTTCCAACCTCTTTTCCAGTCAAAGAAGACATCTACGGACGCAAACGCGATGCCGAGGGCAACATCCTGCCCGATCCTTTAGAGCAGGAAGCCTCTGCGGCTGGCCAAAAGTACATACCTCCCCACCAGCGAGCTCTTTTGGCCGCCAGTGCGGGTTCCAGTGAAAAGCAGGCCGAGATTCTGGCCCGCCTGCTCAAGCAATGCAAAGGTCTGCTCAATCGCTTGTCCGAGGCGAATCTGCACAAGATTGCCGCTGGCATAGAGGCGCTCTACATGAAGAATTCCCGGTTTAACATGAATGAAACGTTGACGAAGTTACTTCAGGAAGCTTTGCTGGGCAGCACACGAACCAACGAGCGAATGGTGCAGGAGCACATGGTTTTATTAGCCTATTTGCATGCCCAAATAGGCAGCGAGATTGGTGCACATTTCCTACAGACTTTCATAGAGCTTTTCGATGGTTATGTGAAAGATATTCTGAACCTCGAAGTGGAGGATAAGCAGCTGAATAACTTAGTCCTTGTCCTCTGCTACATGTACCTCTTCAAGATCTACGAATTGAGTTTGCTAATGGAACTGATAGGCAGGCTAGCCGATCAGCTTTGCGAGAAGAGCGTGGAGTGTCTTCTACTGATCTTCCAATCAATTGGTTTCCGCCTGCGCAAGGATGATCCCCTCGCTTTCAAGACCATGATGAATAGAGTTCAATCCCAAATTGCCTCTGCTCCTTTGGAACTGAAAGAGAATCCCCGCCTGCGTTTCATGGTGGATATACTAAATGCTGTGAAGAACAACAACATGCAAAAGCTGCCCCAATATGATCCTGAATTAGCAGAGAATCTGCGAAAGCGTTTAAAGGCCATGCTGAAAAACGATCGCTATGTGGTTACGCTAAACATAACCCTCGAGGATCTTTTGCGCGCGGATAAAGTGGGCAAATGGTGGATCGTTGGCTCCGCCTGGACGGGAAATCTCGACGAAATGGGTTCAGCCAAGCAAACAAAGGATAAGAACTCCAAATCGAAGTCAGAAAATGGAGGCTTTGCCGATCAGCTACTCGAGTTGGCCCGAAAGCAGCAGATGAACACGGCCGAAAGGAGAAATATCTTCTGCATTATCATGAGTGCCGCCGATTATGTAGATGCCTTCGAGAAGATCCTGCACTTGGCTCTCAAAGATCAGCGGGCGGTGGCCTATGTGATCATCCATTGCGCACTGAACGAGAAGCGTGCGAATCCCTATTACGCTCACTTGGCCCTCAAATTCTGTCAGTTTAACAGAAAGTATCAGCTGGCCTTTCAGTTCGCCAGTTGGGATAGGATTAACGATATCGAAAAGCTAACCAGGCCGCAAATTCGCAACTTGGCCAGCTTCCTGCAACAAGTTATCCTTGCCGCTGGTTTGCAGCTTTCTGTATTAAAAGTGGTGGACTTTATGCAGCTGGACAAGCTGAGTTTCTACTTCATGAAGGAGGTGATGGTTCGGTTGCTTCTGTCGCCCGACGAGCGGGAAGTCTATCAGACCTTCGAACGGGTGGCTAAGAACACCAAGTTGCAGCAGTTTAAGCAGAGCATTCGGCTCTTCCTGCAGCACTTCCTCCTGCAGGGCGACCAACTGCAGAAGCTGAAGCTCAAGGAGGAGGAGCAACAGCTGCTGCAGCAGCGCGTGGATCACCTGGACAAGCTGCTCGCCTATGTGGATCTGTAGATATAGGTAGTTTATAAAATAAACTTGTACTTTAAGAGTAAAATATACTTTTTGTATGTTGAAAATGTGGTTTTAAAATCAGTTAAAATTGCTTTTACAAAAGAAATCTTATAAATTGAAGGTAAATCGTTAGAAATATAAATTAGGTATGTTAAAAAAGTGCTTAGATTATTTTAGATTATTTTAACAACAGAAAACTTATAAATTGAAGGTAAATCGTTAGAAATATATATTTTGTATGTTGAAAAAGTGCTTTTAAAATCAGTTAAAATTATTTTTACAACAGGATACCTATAAATTGAACCTATATCGTTAGAAATTTATAAATTATGGACTTAAAATCAATGAAAGAATTAAAAAAAACAAACATTTACATTTTATCGTTCGAAATCAATGAAATTAATACAAAAACGGAAGCATTTACAAAAGAAAACTTATAAATTGAAGTTATATCGTTAAAATTATGTAAATTGTTCCCTTAAAATCAAAGAAAGGCTTCAAAACTGCTTTTGTAAAATAGAAAAGCTTTTCTTTATTAAAATTTATTAAAATCTATTAGAAAACATTAACAACTAACGTAATAGAACTAATCGAAGCTTTGGAGGAGATCTCTAGCCCTCTGATACCGCGTGGATTCGATAAGTTTCTGCCTTTCCGTCTCGTCCTCCAGCTTTTCGCCCTCCTTGTCCAGTTTTTGGATCACCTCCTCGGCCAGTTGGCTGATTTTCGAGCGAGCTGCTCCCTGGGACCTGGCCAAATACTCCAGGGCGGTGGGCCATAGCTCCGCCTCGAGTTTTTCCTCATCGAAGGCGGTTTGTTGGATGGAAATCTGCCGGAGTTTGTTGAATTTCCACTCCGCACGGGATTCCTTCCATTTGACGAGGTATTCCTTGTTGATTTTGGCCTCCTTGTTGGAGTTCTGACTGCGCTGGGCCTCCAGGCGCTGCTGGTGCTTCTGCTTCTTCTTTTGGCGCACCGTGACCACCGCATTGGCGTTTTCCGGACGGGCGGCCTCCTTTAGTTGCTCCTCCGTTGGCTGGGAATCCTCTTCGTCGTCCTCTGACTGGGATTCCTGCTTGCTGCGCTTCTGCTTAATGGGTTTACTTGCCTCCTGGGCTTGTTTTCTCTTTGGAGTCTTCGAGGGGGTTGCATCCTCGCCGCCACTGGTGGCCACCTGCTCCTCCGCCGCGTTTTTCTTGCTGCGCTTCTTGGTGGCCGGTGCTTCATCGCCTTTTTGCCGCCTCTTGGGGGGTTTATCTGTAAATGTTGGTTATGTTATAGGTTGGTAATGAAGTTATTAACCCAATTCCACCTGTTTCGGCCGCCTGTTGCTCCACCTGTGGCTCCAGAATCAGACTTTTGTTGGCCACCTCGTCGTCGCTGGCCGCATGTTCCGTGTTCCCGGCCACCTCGTGCTTGCGTTTCTTGCCCTGCCGCTTGGCCTTCTTATCCAGCTCGGTGCGGGCCATCTTAGCAGTGCGTTGGTCAAAAATCAACTTGTAAAACCAAGTTATTACAGAGAAATCTTGAAAAATCTTTTGAAAACGAAGTAAAATGTGTTTAAGCCGTCCGGCGTTTACCAACACTGAAAAGTTTCCCCCCGTCTGGCAACTCCCCTACCATATGACTTTTCACAATCGATCTGGCAACGCCCGAAAACAAATTGCCAAATTTTAGCTTTTGTTTAATAATAAATAAATAGGTAAATAAGCCAGCCATAAATCTAGTAAAGTGCATTTCGCGTGTGTAAGGCAGTGCCTATAACGCCTCATGTATTTCAAATGTAAATCCGCCCGAAATCAAGGTTTTTATTGCCAAGCTAAATTCGCGGCGCGTAAACAAAACTCGTGTGTGATAGTTGTAATTAATAATAAATATAAGAGCAATCGAATAAAAATAAGCTAAAGATCTGTATTAATCATTTAACAGGTAAGTTTTACGCATAAATTAATCATTTTCATAACTTAACTGGCGGCAACAACAACAAATCCAACCGGCAAAATGCAACTGTTTATTTACGCGCGTGTGTGTGTGTGTTTTTGACAGTGCGTGCGGGTGTGTGTGCGTCACCGGCAAATGAAATGCGTGTTTTTCGGTTTCAAGTCAACAAGGAAAAATGCAGCTTTATCTTTAAAAGTACAGAAAGGATATCTAGTGGAGGAGGAGAGGTCGGGAGTCCTGGAACAGCTGTTGCTTGCTAAAAGGAGTGCGAGGAAGGTCCCGAAATTCCAGCTGCATTTGTAAAGGTGAGTGTAAGCCGCCAAAAATATTTACCGTTATAAGCCAAAACATACAATTACACGTAGTACCGTTGGAATGTGATTTACAGGGGCGGATTCTGGGGGTTTCTGGGGGTTGAATGCCCCCACACAAAATAGTTAAGGAATTTGAAATGACAGAAAGAATTTTAAAGTTCTTAATCAATATAGTGATTCCAATAAAATTTTCAGTACTACCCAAAAAAGATCTATTCATATTTCATATTTTTCATATTTACATTGTTATTTAATATTTATTATTTTCTGAACTAAGTATATTTCTTAACACAATATTTTTAAAAATAATAACATAAATACACCTATTAATGGCTACTATAATTTTTGTTCCCAGTGACATAAGATGAATTAATGCCAAAGTTTGATCCTCCGCGTGTTTTCACATACCCAGTAGAAGTAGTGTTAATCTCTTCCTCGGGAATACTATTTATAAGCATCATCTCAATATTAACTATAGCCCTTGGGGAAACGCTTCCTGGAATTGCGATGGGCTCTGAAGGATTAACGAACCTATTTGTCATATCAACAGGATCAAATAGGCCAACGGGAAAAACGACATCTATTTGGCGCATTTTTTTCAGTTTCCGAAATAAAATCACGATTATAGGTAAAACTACGATAAGGACTGTGGCGATAATATAGAGTGTTTTTTCCATTCCAGATGATTTAGGATAAATTTTTCTAGTATCGGGCCAAATCGGACCGATCCATACCATTCCTCCGCTGGTTCCATCCTCATAAAGGGCCACCACCGCCTTGTTTAAATCAGCTGCCTGTGTGTTGAACTGGAAATTGTTTAATGATGCTGGCACAGACTCCAAATGCAGGGGCTTTTGATCCTCACAGAGAAATGTACTATTGGAGGAGACAGAGCACCAGATGATGATGTAAGAGATAAGCTTATTTACATCCTTCGGTGGCCTCCAGGTCATAGATTGGTTTTCGAAATGATACCAAAGGTCCTGAGGTTGATGCATTAGGGAATCGGTTAAAACTGGTACCTCTAGTTTTGAGGTGTTTTCCGATCGTCCTACTGAGTTTTGGTTCCAAACCAAGACGGTAGCCGGTTGCGTGGGATCCCATTGGTGGAAGACGGCGGAGGAATTGCTTTTAAGTGGAGCCTTTTTACTGAAAATCATAGAATTAATTGTTTGGTTTTAAATTAAGAAAGATTCTTAATTTTTAATAATAATCAAATTTACTAAAGGATGAATAATTGTGTAGGAAGTTTTTAGAAAATTAATATCGTAGACGCTTACCCAGTACTCGTCTGCACATTATACGTAAAGTCCAGTCTGTTGAACTCCAGTTCTTCCAACTCCTTCCAAAAAATGTGAAGATTTTTATTTTCCGGGTCGTAAAAGAAAACACCGGGCATTATCTTTGGCGGCCTTTCTGGTGGAAAAGCTTCCGTTTGAATAATATAGGCGTAATAATCCCTCGTCCATGGAGTATCGAGGCCAATATAGCGGCGCCAAACACGAACTTCAAATGTTTGGTTATTGAAGCGTGGAGTACGGAAACATATGTCATTGTAATATCGTTTAATAGGTTCGACCTTTATCTCTATGATTCGTGAACTTCTCAGCATCACCAGCAGTAGTTTCCAATCGTAATCATTAAATTTTGATTCGTATCTAAAAACAATGCAAGTCAAAATGCCTCTCTTTATTGTAACAATATGGTGGCCCCAAGGAGGAACTTTCATTTGAGTCCTACTGAGATGAAAGAACTGCTTCTGCACATCTCTATTAAAATTCATTTCAAGGGTGAAGGTGTGGTTTAAATTTTCGGTGGTAGCGTTTGAGTATTTTGTGTTGCACTGAACCCGATTTCCTGACGCTTGGCACTTATCACTTTCCCCGTTATCAATTTTGAGATGATATTCCATGTAATCCCAAATAGCCTTATTGCCCAACCGACCAAAGCTGCATTCTACCATTAATTCGTCTCCTTTACTAATGCACTCGAAGTCCGTGACTTTTAGTTTCGGGATCACTACTAACTCGACCCACATCTTATGGCCGTCAACCCGGCATAAGAAAAATAAGTGTGCTCCTTCATCGGGTGTTTTTAGGTTTCTGTACATAATGGTATGATTGTCAACGGCCACCGAATTTAACATATCACCTTCTTCAAAATATAGATAATGTTGGGGTGTTACGTAGGACGCGTTATAGGAACAGAACAAATCGAAAGAATCACCGCCATACACCGTTTTTGGTTTCGTATACATGTCCACAGTAAGCTTGCTCCATCCCGGAACAGCACTCGAACCCACGTGACTACTGGCCGCTGCAGTCGCGAAAAAACACGTCCACCAAATCATCTCGCTGGAGACCTAATGTACGCAACGAAATTCAAATTCCGCACTCTTATCAATATTACTACATTTATTTTGGTGAGAAACAATCTGAAACATTTTGTTGTGCCTTGCGACATGCACTAATAATAAATGGAGGCATACATATTTACTTCGTTGAATCCCAATGGAAAAGCAACAAAGAATTATACCGTGCGATACCCATTACAAAATTCCTTCCACTCGCGTTAGAGAAAATTTGGTATAAATAAAAACAAAATACGTATTTAAAAACAAGAGAGAACGCTATAGACGAATGCCTCGAATATTAAATTTTTAGATTTAGCCCCATTTTAAATAATTTAGATTTTGAATTAACATATTGGGAATTCGAGTGACCAGAGGGTGTCATAATCCATTTGAATTCGGCGCCCTTTAAGAGCTGACAGATCCATCCATGGGGGTTTAATGAACGAACAACTTTTTTTTGTTGCATACTTTTTGAATACCAAATTACCTTTCCATTACTTCCCAGTGTCCACTTTGTACAGAAATCCTATATACCCTCTTATTTTAGGAGCGAAGGGTATCTTCAATATCACTACTCAGTAGAGGGGCAAGTAAGGAACGTTCTCATTGGACCAGCATCTTTTTAAATTATTAAATGCTGAAATAATTTTGTATGGTAATCGCTCCTGACTTTTTATCAGTATAGAAGCATTATTTGTACAACATAGTTGTTTGTGATAACTGATTAAGGGGGATTGTTAGGGTCACAAGGCAAATAAATCTTTTATTTTTAATATCATCATAAATAGTTCAATATTTTTTCTATTAGTGATTGACTTGACCTGTTTAATATATTCATAAAACACTATAATCAAAATTTTTAGACTAAAAAAACTAAGAATTTGGACTGTAATCTAGATTAACGCTGGCTTGAGGAACGGTGACGTATGATTCTATATCAATTTTCCGTTCTTCAGTGGTCATAATCAGAGATTCTGTAATAATCGGCTCTTCCGTAAGAACAATTAAACTTGGTTCAATATTTGGCTCATTCGTTGGCACATAAGAAATAGAAGTAGTATAGGGCTCATTCTCGGAATTAGTTTTCATTCGCATCATTTCAATATTAACAATACCCCTAGGGGAAACGCTTCCAGGAATGGTGATAGGATTTGGAGGATTAACGAACCGTTTTGTCATCTCATTAGTATCGAATAAACCCTCGGGAAAAACTATATCTATTTGGCTCATTTTTTTAAGTTTCCGAAATAAAACCACGATTATAGGTAGAGCTCCGATAGTGACTGTGCCGATAACATAAATTATTATTTCAATTCCAGATGATTTAGGCTCGGTTTTTCTAGTATCGGGCCAAATGGGACCGATCCACACCATCCCTCCGCTGGTTCCGTCCTCATAAAGAGCCACCACCGCCTTGTTTAAATCAGCTGCCTGTGTGTTGAACTGGTAATTCTGTATAGATGCTGGAACAGACTCCAAATGTAGGGGTTTTTGATCCTCACAGAGAAATGTACTATTGGAGGAGACGGAGCACCATATAACGATGTACGAGATTAGCTTATTCACATCCCTCGGTGGCTTCCAGGTCATAGATTGGTTTTCGAAATGATACCAGAGGTCCTGAGGCTGATGCAATAGGGAATCGGTCAGAGCTGGTACCTCTAGTTTCGAGGTGTTTTCCGACCGGCCTACTGAGTTTTGGTTCCAAACCAAGACGGTAGCCGATTTCGTGTGATCCCAGTGGTGGAAGACGGCGGAGGAATTCGTTTTAGCTATCGCCTTTTTACTGAAAATCGGAAAGTTAATAATTTGTTTGCTTTTATTAAGAGAGATACATACATACATACTTACACCCAAAAAATTATTTTCCCGTAATATTAAAGATTATGCGTAAAAGGCAATTTTTTTCCAAAATTAAAAAAAAAGTTACTGCTTAAGAAAATTGTTTTCAAATAAAGTACATTTACAAAAGGGCTAATAATTTGTTGAGTCTAAAGAGTGTTTAGAAAAGATTCAAAGTCAAATATATTAGAATTAGTATCCTAGACGCTTACCCAGTGGTCGTCTCCGCAGAGTACGTGAAGTCCAGTCTGTTAAGATCCAGTTCTTCCAACTCCTTCCAAAAAATGTAAAGATAATTTTTTTTGGGTTCGTAAAAGAACACCCCGGGCTGTAGCTGAGGCGGCCTATCGGGCGGAAAAGCTTCCGTTAAAATGCTGAAGGCGTAATAGTCCCTGGTCCATGGAGTATCAATGCCAATATATCGACGCCACACACGCACTTCGAAGTTAACATTATTGAAGCGCGGCGTACGGAAACATATGTCTCGGTGTTGCTTTATTGGTTCGACCATGATCTCCATTATTCGTGGATTTTTAAGCAGCAGCCGCACTTTATAATGGTACGCATTACGTGAAAGTATGGTACTGACTTCAAAACCCATGCAAGTAAATATTCCTCTTGTTGTTGTCATGATATCCTTTCCCCAAGGAGGAACTTTCATTTGAGTCCTACTGAGGTGAAAGAACTTCTTTTGCACATTTCTGTTACATGTCATTTCAAGGGTGAAGGTGTGTTTCAAGTTTTCTGTGGTTGCGTTAGAATATTTGGTGTTGCACTCAACCCGATTCCCCATCGCTTTGCACTTATCACTTTCCCCGTTGTCAATTCTGAGATAATATTCCATGTAATCCCAAACAGCCTTGTTGCCCAACCGACCAAAGCTGCATTTCACCGCCAATTCTTCGCCTTCACTAATGCATTCGAAGTCCCTGACATTCAGCTTGGGTATCACTATTAATTCGATCCATATCTGTTGGTCGTCAGCATTGCAATAGAAGGATAAGAGTGCTCCTTCATCCGGTGTTTTTAAGATTCTGTACACAATAGTGTGATTGTCAATGGCCACCGAATTAAGCTTGTAACCTCTCTCAAAACTTAAAAAATGGTCCGGTGTTACGTAGGAGGCGTTATAGGAACAGATCAAATCAAAAGAATCACCGCCGTACACCGTGAATGGTTCCGGGTACATCTCCACACTAAGATGGCTCCGTCCCAAAACACTTGACTCACTTAGGAAACTACTGGCCGCTGCAGTCGCGAAAAAACACGTCCACCAAATCATCTCGCTTGGGAGCTAATGTACGCAATGAAATTCAAATTCCGCACTCTTATCAATATTATTACATTTATTTTGGTTAGAAGCAATCAAACTTTTTTGTGTCCGTTGGGACATAAAGTAATAAAGGCATGCATTATCGACCTTGAGATACCCATTAAAAGATTTCCCAAACCAAAAAATTAAAAAAAAATTATTTGAAAGCCCCCAAAACCAAAATCTGGATTTAGGGAATCCAGGATTTGTTTTGTGCATTTTCTGAACCACTTTTTATGGTTGCATACTTTTTGTATACCGCATTTCCTTTCATTTTTCATCCGAGAGGGAGATAAATGTATTTTTACCATTCCATTTATTCTCAATGTGCACTTTACGAGATAGGATCTTGCCTTCCCTCGATACTTAACTTTCAACAAATACTATATACCCTCATACTTTACGAGCGAAGGGTATTTTCAATATCAGTACTCAGTACAGGGGCGAGGAAGAAACGTTCTGATTAGGACAGCATATTTTTGAATGCTTTTGGATCCGCTCCTGACTTAGCTACAGTATAGAAGAATTATTTGTACATCATCTATTGTAGCATTAAAAAGTTGTTTGATTTTTATTTTAAAAGTAGATTAGACTAGCTTTGAAAAAGTTTTGGAAAAATTTTGAATAATTAATAAAATTGAAAAATGTGTAAAATTTTCTGTCGATTTTTTTCCCAATTTTCCCCCGACCAATTGAAATTTTACTTTTATCCGCTGAACGCCGGCGCTCCTTCCACCAAAAACAGAATAATAATTTGTAAACAAAACGCTCATTTGAAATGTTCACACAAGATTTCCTCATCATGCTTTTGTGGCTCTTTGAGTAGTTTTCCTGCCGGTATGGGCAAAAATAGCATTTTTCCGACTTTTCCCGAGTTTTCTGCCTATGCCACGAGTGAGAGAAAAGCTCTCACTCAGGGGTCGTCTCAGAATTTGTTGGCCATTAAATTCCTCCGCTGTCCATTCAGTTCTACTTTGGTTGTGTTCCCGTTCGCATCGCGTTTTCCCCTCGCGTTTTCCGATTTTCCGTCGCGATCTTTGGTGGCTTTTCCACGCGTTTCTATATCACTTTGGGTTTCTGAATCGAAATAAACCCAAAGATATATTTGAAAAAGTTTTCGGAGCGTTTCAAGATATATATCGAAAAAATATCTTCGGTGCTATATGTCATTATCTGATTGGTAGGGCGGCATCTTAACTGGCTAATTGGATTGTCCACAACAGTTACAACAACAACAAAAAGTGTGGACAGCAAACCTGTCACAACAAATAGAAAAGAAGAAGAAAATAAAGGCTAACGACTCCGGTTAACTTCGCCGGTAAAACACGCGTGTGTTTTTGTGTGCCTTTCCAGTAATCAATATAGTGGCATTTGTTTCGCGCGCGTTTTACTTTCTAACATACTTTGGTACCTCGGCTCGTTTTCGCCCCTCGGAATCCCTATATCTTAACTTAACCCTGCGGTTTCTGTGACAACGTGAGCGGCCTCAACAAACCCGAAGAGGCAAACCCCAAAACGAAACGCAAGAAATATTAACCAACTTTCTGTTCTGGAATGATAAAGCTCGGCATATAAATGCTCGACAGTACGCGCTATAAGTGTAAGTTTAAGTTGGCGTGGAAATTATAGAATTTTTGGGGTTATTGAAACCCTATAGACATTAAAAAAATTCCCAACAAATAAGTTTCAAAATTAAGATCCGCTTTTGATCTTGATTAAAATTAATGAATATGAAAATATAATTTTTAGAACAAATATAAATATAATAATACCAGATGAAATGCTCCAATAATAATAAGACGCGTAACGTCCATTGAAATTAATGTCCCTTTCTTTTAATACACTTTATCCAATTTAACTAAGGATTATATGCATTTTCTCGCCGTGCAACTTCCTTGTTTGTTTATAAACATTTCGGCACATCCGTTGGGATCGAGAGTATTACATCAGCTGAGGTGCAGAGGTGTGGTCGCGGTCCACTTGTGTGCGTCCATCATGATTCAGTTTCGGATTCAAATCTGTATCTACTCGATGTGCTATAGCCTATAGGCAACATTTGTATCTATTTGGCAGCCGCATCTTCGCCTCCGCTGGCTTGTGTTTTTCCAATAGTTTTTCTCTAAAAATGGATCGACTAGTCGGCAATTAAGGCCCCCCAAAAATAAGATATATGTATTCAGACTAAACTCATTCGTTCGTTTGTCTAATATGAATGAATCAATGCTCAAAGTTTTTTTTCTTGAATGTTCAGACTTTTTTTGTAAGGTATTGTGGGATTCTGGAGGTGGTATATCATTCTTAGAGTTCTAGAAATGTCAAAAAAAATTTGATTTTTGGTTGGGAACATTTTGTTTTACAAACCAAAGTTGGGTGTTCTGTTTTGACAGTTCATAAAAAATGTAATTTCTATTCGACATTTAATAGTTTTTACCTTAACTTAAATTAGATTTTCAATATTTCTTATAAATAGTATTTTCAAAATATTTTTCTTATAATTAGTATTATAAAGAGTATTTATAAAGAGTATTTCCTAGATTTCTTCCACCTACCTTGCCCCTTAAATTTGCTTTTGTATTTTTTCTTTGCTTTGCGGCACTCGTTAAATGTATATTTTGAGCACAAATGTCAAATATCGCTTTTTAAGGGTCACCGGCTAAATATTTTCGCTCTTTGCATATTTATTTTTCAATGTTGCCCATTGCAACTTGGCAACTTGGCCAACAAAATACGTTTTTCCTTTTTTTTCCGTCTTTGTTTGCGAATAAACCAGCCCTTTGGCTCATCGGTGGTTGGTTGTTGAGTCATTCTCTTTAAGGGTTGAGTGGCTCTTTACAGATAGTTGGGTCGTAAATTCTCTAAACCAGACGATGAGCAAACAAATTACCGGCTTCCTTTGCAGCATATAATTTCTAATTTCCCTTCTAATGGTTTCTTACTTTTAAGCTTTTTGATTTATTTCCTGAAAAAGATAAAAACACACACATTCATTAGCTTTATTTTGATTCCAAAGTCAGAAGATATTTATTCTGTTCTCTTTCCATTCGAATTGACGTCAAATTGTTTATGCAGGCCATGGGCCGTTTAGTTTGATGGCCGGCTGTTTTATATATTTCGCTATATATGTGGTCGATATCTATATAGATGTGCTACTGTTTGCCGTGATATTGTGATTTCTATATAGGGAAATTAAGCGGCGGCGTCTTGATTCCAAATGCAAGTCAGGTTTTTGGCGACTCGAGGGCGTCACAGATTTGCGCGTTCAAAACGCGGTTGAAATATTAATGCAACGCCTGTTTTTCGAATCGTTAAATACACATTATATAGCCATATTCCATTTTTTTTGGCTTAAATGGCGTCGCGTCGACACGCGCACTTCCGTCACCAAAAACATTTTTTCAGAGAAAATCCCCAAAAAAATAAAAACAATTGCCGAAAATATAAACTGAAACAAATACAATTTGTTTTTCGGGGCGACAGAGTAACGACATGGGGGAGCAAGTGTTAAAATAAATTGTGACAGATTGTTTGGGGGTAGCACGCAGACTGTATTCGATAGCTATATAATATCAGGGTCTCTTTACGATATGTCGCGTAATTTTAGCTCGTTAAAATATGAAAAATTGTCTGGTCAAGACAGAAAAAAGCGTTCAAGTCGGGGATAATGAGACAGACACAAAGATTAATGGAATATGTAAAAATTCTTGCTGTAAAGGAGCCGTATTAAAATTTATAAGAAAATGCTCTTGAATGGTTCAATGATCTTTAAAAATCTTTCGGATACTTTTTATTGTTTTTTATAAGTAATAAATTTTAATCCCGTTATTTATAATTTTCTTACAACAAAGAGATTTATTTTAGGAACACTTAATTTAGTGTTTCAACGTTTTTTATTTTAAAATTGGAAAATGTTAAAAAACATAATAATAAGCATTTTTTTCAGGCACTTTTATTTTTGGTGTACGAATTACTATTTAAAATACTAGCAATTTTATTTCTTATTTATTTTGAAAATAGAAGATTTTGTATCTCATAGCTTAAAGGATTTTCTTAGGTTTTATAAAAAACTTTAACGAATTCCTTTATTTCCAAACCTTGAATTCTCTGGATTTCTTTGCTCTCTTCATAAACAAATTGTTGGTAAAATACTATTTTCTATTTTTCTTCTCGACAGAAAACCCCAACAATATTTTAAAATGTTTTCATATTGAAATTAAAAAAAATGTCTTTAAATAAATTGTGCAAAACGAATTCCAAGCTAGACATTAATTTACTAGACAGAACGACAGACAGATATATAGAGAATGAACAAACAACAGAAAGGCAAGTATATTCTAAATGGGATACCTAAAATAATCCAAAGATCTGACGACATCGGTGGCTATACAAAAAAAAGCCTTGAGGAAGTGTTGCAAAAAATAAAAAGAAAAACACTTTTAGTTAGTCGATTTTGTTTCACGTGACCCTGAAAGAGTAAAATTGAGCATGAAATATGGTGAACTAGGTCAATACAAGGGGGCAATATGGGTTGACTCAATTTCGCGGACAACGAGGTCGCAAAAAGATAGGCCAACCCGCTGAGCATGGCAACGAAAACGGCACCCCGAACCCCCCAAAAAACCTACCTACCCCATTATCCAATAAACAATCCAATTAAAACAATTGCCAGGGACAACAAACGATATCCCAATGCGTTTTGCATTGCGTGTGTTTTTTGTCTGGGGTCTTAATGGGTCAAATATACTGATAGTATCTGATGGATAGTTTTCCAACTATAAGTTTCTTTGCCCCATTCGATGGAAAGTGAAAGTGCGTCGAACCAACCAATTTAATGTACATTTTTGTTTATTAATCTTTTCTTTTTTTGGTTTTTTCGCACA